AAAAACGACGTTTCACGATAAATGCATCGATACTCTACCGAATAAAATACGCATAATTTAGTCGCGTAGTTTCATCAGAAAAACGACGTTTCACGATAAATGCATCGATACTCTACCGAATAAAATACACATCATTTAGTCGCGTAGTTTCATCAGAAAAACGACGTTCAATCATCCCGAGAATTTTCGTACCTGACCCCTGTTGTCAAACTTTTGCCTGACGCCGTACTGCTTCTGCCATTTTTTCATCTGCCTCTGCCGATCACTGTAGGATGAAAACCAAACAAAATATATATTTCTCCTGATAAGATATTATAACCAGGGTTTCTTACACATAGGAGGTCAAATTTAAAACATCGCTGTTGTGAAAATGTAGTCAAATGCAGTCTAAGACATTAAAATTTGTAAAATTTTGCTGGGGAGACCCCCCAGAACCTCCCAGCGAGTGGAGGAGTTCCTCCTCTCCCTCTCTCCCCCCGCGTCCTTTCTCTACAGCACGCCTTTGAATTCATCATGCGTGTTTTTCCCCCAAACTGGCCATTACCTCCTTTGTCTAATTTTCCCTCAGATGAAACCCTGATAACTGATGCAAATCCACCAAAATATTGGTGTGATGTACTCCATACTATGTGCATTGCTATACTTTATACAATGTGAATATTTCTGTTTTAAAAACAACAATGGCACCTTTAACAGACCCTCCTTACCGTTCCCTGCTCTTCTGGGTTTTCGATAGCACTTGCAAGCTATTGGCAGCTTTCTGATCACGCCTTTCCCTCTCTCGTCTAAAGTCACGTCGCTGGAAATACAGAAGTACTTAAATTGTAAAGCAACATCTATTTCAGCCAAACTCATACCGAGTATTTAATATTAACGAATATTTGCGAACCAACCACAATCAGATCTTTTTTAACAATAAGGCCATAATAAAAATAGTGTTTGTTTGCGCTCACCCAACTGACTCGCCAAAAAGGGGCAGACTCAAACAATTTTATTGATCTTTCCCACTCTTTTTTTTTTACAAATTGTATCACTGTACCTTATATAAATCTGTAGGCAATACATTATATGTACCAAGCAAAAGAAACATTAAACTTAAAAGGTATCTCCACACAAGCACACCCGAGCATGTAGACACCATGCTGAATTTGTAAAAAAAAAACCTCAAAAAAAAGGAAAAAAGCGGACCTACCTACCCAAACTTTTCAGCCTGGCTTGGGTGAGGGCAAACAAATATTTTTTTAATTGTGGCCTAATAGGACTTAAAATCTTGAATCTCCTGCATATGAACATTAGCTACTTGCTGTGTTATCAAGACCGACAGCTACGTGAAACGTGAGGCCCCACCTGGAATCGTCCTCTGCCACGCTGGTACATTGGCCGCTGAACCTTAGAGGTGTCGACCAACTGGAAGCTGCTCTCATCCTCTTCGTGGTAGTACGCATACTGGTTAGCCGAGCTAAACTGGGACTGATAACGATCTGGAAAACAATAAACCAAGTTCAGTAAGACTGTTTTTGTCGCATTTGTATGATGATAGCAGGCCTGATAATGCTACTATTACTACAGTTACACCACCGATTTTCCCGAAAACCCTCGGTTCCAAGGCCTTTCCGGATTATCCGATACACCTCTGAGCAACTATATACTTCCCATGTCTCTAAAGCATCATGCACTGCTAGAAACTTAAATTGAACAGTTGTGGTGTTTTTGTTTCTTTATCACTGACACTTGCACCTGCCTTAGAAGCCATAGCTAGGGTAAAATTTTAGTAAAATAAGTTATGAATTGCATAAAATCAAGAGCTCACCACCAAATGCTGCAGTTTAAACAATTTAAGGAGAGTGCACCGTCCGCAACGATCGCACCGCCATCTGTGGCCACCCGGTAAACTAATAAGAATTTCAAATTAATTTTATCCAGACTAAAAAAAGTTCAGGTCCATCAGTGTCTGGAAAATCGGTGGTGCACCTGTACTAATAATTATAGTATATTATTCGTAGTATACTGGTTAATTGCTGCCAATATTATCATACCATCTGTACTAGCATTAAGATGGGAAAATATTCACTTATCATAGGTCAAGTATACAAGAACGCATTACTGCTGGAATAGAACAAATTACACGATGTCGATGATATGTATTATTACTAGCTACCACAGAATACCACGTACTAGTGTATCGCTTGTCAGTATAAGTGCTTCCAGTCCAGTCTGATGCCTGCAAGTGTGAAACAGCTTGTATATTAAAAGTGCTTGAAATGATTGAGTGTTCCTGAATCCACCTTGTCACTGACAATGTCAATGGCATACCGCCATATGCACGCAATCAGGAGTTTTTTCAGCCACACAAAAAAAATTAACATAGCTTGTTATGCAGGTCCTTATATTTCACACCATGAATTCGCAATATTTACCAACAATATATATATATATCAACAAACTAACATGTGAACTATATAATTTGAAATGTTAGCTTTTGCTTGCGCTTGAAACGTACTACAGTACACAAGCACTTGAAACGTCTCAATAAAAATAAAAAAAGTTAAATAAACACAAATGTATTTACTACCAAAGTCTTAATGTTTCTCTACTCTATTTTGCCTATAATGACCTGTAAATGCGGGTCAAATGCTCATCTGCAACACACAAGTACACCGCACGCTAGCTGCTGCACACCGACACATAAATATATAGCAGGTAGGAAAGCGTGCTGCCAAAATTTGCTCGACGCTCGCTTGATTTCACACGAATACAACACAAACATTCAACCATTCAACTCCATCTTATAAAAAACATACTGTCTGTGTTCGTAACCAAGCTGTGTCACGCGAAATCACACAAAGCCTGACGAAATTCTCGCGTTCGCTCCCGTTGCGCAGTTTATGTAAATGGCTGCAAGTACAGTGCTATAGGAGGCGCACTGCATTTTGGGAAACTACCACGCTGCTTTCCAACTCCCGTACGAGCCTCGTCAAAGCCGGGAGTGAAGCGTTGCAATGCGCCGCAAAAACGAGGTCACGAAGAGCGCCGGTAGGCGTTTCCTGATTCCGACAGCCATTTACATAAACTGCGCAACGGGAGCGAACGGGAGAATTTCGTCAGGCTTTGTGTGATTTCGCGTGACACAGCTCGGTTACGAACACAGGCAGTATGTTTTTATAACAAGTGAACACTGCCCTTCAAATAGAAAAAAAGATGGAGTAGAATGGTTGACTGTTTGTGTTGTATTCGTGTGAAATCAAGCGAGCGTCGAGCGAATTTTGGCAGCACGCTATCCTACCTGCTATATATTTATGTGTCAGTGTGCAGCAGATAGCGTGCGGTGTACTTGTGTGTTGCAGATGAGCATTTGACCGGCATTTACAGGTAATTATAGGCGAAATAGAGTAGAGAAACATTAAGACTTTGGTAGTCAATTTTTTTTATTGAGACGTTCCAAGTGCCTGTGCTACAGTAGGCCTAATTATCACCGCAGACCAATATTGGCAATAATATCAGCTACTCGTACTCACTTTACCAAGCCGATCAGCCTTATAAAACGGCTGATACGGCATGTCTTTAAACTGGTCAGGAACAGCACATGGTCCCCACCCACTAGGGTTATCTTGAATTTTCGGAGGGATGAATTTTGCAGACATTTTCGGTAAAATATGCCTGAATCAAATAGAATTGCAATCCATGTGGAATACCGACCCAACTCAGGAACCGGAAACTGAACACAGGTTCTGCCATCTATTTTTAAAATTTCTATATGGACAACAATTTATTAATCTTTTCTAGTCAGATAAAATCAATAGAGTTACGGGCAATAAAAATCAATAATAATTCTGAACATGTTTGCTATATTATTTCTAGGGTTATATTGTGTTTTAATGATTTTTGTTGTATTTGGTAACTATTGCATTTAACCGACAGATGGCGTGCATATGATATGGCGCGAAAGTAAACGAAAGTTCATACTCTCTTTGCAAGAAAGTTGTGATCATAATATTTATTATTAAAATATATCATGATAGCAATAACGGTGCATTTATTTACAACGTGTGTAAGCTGAGCAGTCATTCCCGCTAGTTTAAGTTGTGTTAAGGAGTGTGTTATTTGACAGTTAATCAAAGTTTGACAGTGAAGCTGCGTGTATCAAACTTCATTGTCACAACACAATCACGTAGGGGCCTAATTTTGCAATTTATACTTATGTACGACGTTTAACCCAAGCCATATCGTAGGCATGGCAAATGTAAGGGCATCAGTGGAAGGGTTGGAAGTCCTATTTCCATTTGAGCCCTATAAATGTCAGTTGGACTACATGGCATCAATGATTAAATGTTTACAAAAGGTGAGAATGTGTACATTGTGTACTTGTATTTGTAAATCACTACGGTACTAAATAAAATGTAAGTTGTAGTTGTAGTTTATATTTTTATCTTGTTCAAGCAAGGTGTAATTGCAAAGAAAGGGAATTGTATGTAACACGAATGTGTCAGTATTGCCTCTGAACAACCCCCTAGCTCATTCTGTACGTATTTGGAAACACGGATCTTGGCTAGCGCATTTAAACAATTGGAACTATATATATGTTATATATTACTGTAGATTTAATATAATATAGCCCCTGATGTGAGTAGTACTAATTTATGTTTGAAATCTACTTGATTGAACAATTTACTATATTGCAGGGAGAGAATGGAATTTTGGAAAGTCCAACAGGAACAGGAAAGACACTCTCTCTGCTATGCTCTTCTCTAGCTTGGCTAGAAACACAGAAAGCAAAGGTTTGAATCTTGCTCCATATATTATATATACGCGTTCTCCCGAGAGAGCGTGAACGTACCCGGGAGTCCCACTCATTGAGGGTCTTGATGTTGATGAACTGCAGCTCTCCCGTGGAGCCGTACATGACTGCGTCGTGCTCGCAGCGAACTATTAGCTCGATGCTGTTCCCCAGGTCCCACTTACGGTACCTGCCGCCGCCGACGAAATAAGCATCGGTTATATAAGCGCGCGTGACATTCCACGCGCGAGACGGACGTGTATTTAAGCGGTCAGATTATTATCGATCGTAGTAAGAGACGTGGGTTCGTAAAACGGGGTAATAAACGCGAGATTCAGTTAGGTCGGCCTGCGACGGACGTGCTTTTTAACGGTCAGGTATCATATATATTCAACTATAAATCGTCGTGGAAACGTGGGTTTGTAAAACGCGGTAAATGGGTAAGAAACACTGGAATTCACATTTAGTAAGCGCGTACTTCACCGTAGATCGATTCGTACGCGTAGAAAGCAATAGATTTCCTCGGTTTTGACGTCGTATGAAACTGAAGCGGCGCGAGAGAAACGTCCGTGATTGACACCGAGACACTTGTTTCACCTGCCGCGTGCGATCACCATGCTTACCTGTATGCAACCGATGCCACCTCTCCTTCCTCCTCCTCCTGAATGAACGGATTCGGCTTGGGAAAGGAATATCTTTCCTCTCCCTGGCAGTAGGTGAAAAAACAAAATCCGTCAGTTATTTTTCCGCCGGCTTGTTATTTTCCGCCCAGTTATTTTCCGCACCAACGCATTTCGATTCGAGATGATTCCGCCGATGTTGAGCTTAGTACGCCATTCACAAAATTCGCGAGTACTCGTGCGTTTCCTTCCTTAGAATCGCACGCGAGTCGAGCGTACAGACGCGGCAGATGTAATTGGCGTTACCTGACGCAGCACTTGCTGCGAGAAGTTGTGGTTGATGAAGGTCGCCTCAAGGGCGAGGTTGCGCGGAGAGTTGTGGGACATGACGTCGTCCGGTGGCGGCTCACTCGATGTCTCGCTCACCGTCAGCAAGTCTGTCGACACAAGAGCAAGTCTTCATGTTTACGCGAGCAATAGCCGTGTTCGATTACAGAAACAATAGCCGTGTTCGATTACAGGAACATAGCCGTGTTCGATTACAGGAAACATATAGACACGACCAATACATGCCTGCACCGTCTCGTTCGATTACAGCAACATAGCGCCTATTCGAATCTTACT